CTGGGGAAGCCCACGCAGCAACTATTCTCCCACGTAGCACTACTCCAATCCCGCTTCTCATCTCACCTCAGTGCTAGTGCTACAACGTGACAGTAAGTAGGAAGTGTGAGAAGTCAGAAGAAATCTTCAGCCCATTTATCACTAACTCAGAAATCCTGGGTAAGGGGAAAGGAAGACAGGGAAGGCCCTGTCCTATCACCCCCCCCCCCCTAACATTAGCCAAATCCCAGTACACCATCCCTTAAAATCCCATTCCAATGATCTCTGGGCTACTGAGTCTGAATTTTTGGAAAAAGAAGGGCATATAGGGAGAATCCGGAAGTAAAAACCCTATCTTCACCAGCTCTTCTCACAGGCCTCCCAACTCTGGTCCCAATCCCCATCTCACCTCTCACTGCCATGGCCTTTACCCCACACCGGTTAGAGTTCAGGGAGCTTGCCCTGCTGCATGGAACGGAAGAGTGGAGTCCTGGCTCCAGTGGGTTCCAGCAAAGGGCTGTGTTCATGCTAGAACTTACAGAGCAACCAGTGCCGAGCAATGACTTGGGCCTACTGTACTACAAAGATTGTATTTCAGACACATTAATTATGTATTAAGTGATGGTACAGGAACTTATAACTCCATTTGTATAACTGTTTCTATGGGAAAACTGACTGGAAATAGCAAACATACTGTACAGGGGTTTGAAGTGATCCACACCCTTAGAAGAGCTTTCACATACAGAGATACACGTCATTTAATTTGTGGGTAGGTACCTGAAATTTTCCTCTTTGTTTATTAAAGGGAACTTGAGTTAGACGGTAAACCCAGTGTGGACATGGTACGTCACGGGCTGAGCTAGGACTAGGACCCCAGCATCTGCCACTATTCCCACAATCTCCCAACTCCAGATCATGTCTTCAAAGTCTCCTGGAATTACAGGAGCTCCGAAGGAATCAGTCTGGCCTCTTAAGATTTCCTATATCTGTTGGCACATGGAACACAGAAAAGGACTAGAAAGTCAGGGCTCCCAGAAATACCAAAATGTACTCAAAATATCTCCCCTCCCCCCAGCTGGGAAGTAGGTCGAGGTTAATAGGGCCCATTTTAATCTCTTGAATTTCTATTTGGGGCCTATTTTATCCTTTTTTTCTGGCCACTGTGTAACTGCCTCCCTTGTCCTATACCTTAACACGATGGTTTTCATAACTGCCCTTTTACGTACTTTGTTCAAACATGACGGCCTCTGGCCGTTCCTCAGAGAAGCCAAGTTCATTCCCGCCTCAAGAGTCTTTACACTCAACCGCTTTTTGTCCAGGAAACCTGTTCCTCCCCAGACTACTGCTTGATTTGCTCCCTTGCTTCTTCCAGGTCTCCACTTAAATGTCCCCTACTCTGAACACCCTATCTAAAACAGCTATCCGCCTACACCCTAACCCCACCCCTCTACAAGTATATCCCCCACCCTACCTTACTTTCCTTCTTGCCTGAAAGTGCACTATTTTTTTTCTTGCTTACAGTCTCCCGCACTGGAATATTAAGGTTCACGAGGCCAAACCCTGCCTATCTTGTTCACAGATATATCCTCATATCCTCAAAGTGGGAACAATACCTGGCATGTTCCCTCAATAACTATTTGATGACTATCTTAATATCCCTGGCGATTCCATCATCTTAATATCCCTGATTCTCATGAATCCTGCTTGAACACCATGGAGCATTTTACAGCTTTACAGTTGACAATACATTATTGCTCCTTTTCATCATAGCAATCTCCTTTTCTACTATATTAGCAAGAGCAAGGACTCCAACCTTGACCTGACCTTAAATCCCATACCGTTTCTTCTCCAAGGTACTAC